GTGTTTTTTTATACAGATTCTTATGATCTTATCTAAATTATTATTATTAGATCTAACTTAATTATATCATCTACTATAGGCCAAGCGTCCTAGGCCTACGTGTGAGTGCAAATCTGTGCTGAATTATTAGCCAGCGGGTGAATGCTTTTTCTATATAATAATAATAGATTAACGTAATTATTTAGATAAGAATCTGTAGAAAAAGCGTTCACCCGCTGGCTAATAATTCAGCACAGATTTGCACTCACACGTAAGCCTAGGCCTAAGGTTAGATCATCTATATACATATAATGGCTGGAGACAGCTTGAATGGGTAATGAAGAAAAACTTTAATATAACAGCAAATGTAGAACGTTTCGACAAGGTTTTGTCATCATCAGGTTATATTAAAGTTTTTCTTCATTACCCATTCAAGCCGTCTCCAGCCATTATTAGTCTCAAAGTGGGTTCCTCGTCATCGAATCTATATACATAGCTGTAGGCCCCTAGATCTATATAATTAATATACCTTATACAGCTATGAAAATTGAAATATTATGCTAATAATTGGCAAGCACGAAATTGCATTAGAAAATATTTTTCCCCAATAATTCATAAAATTTGTTAAATGATAGATCTATCATCTATGCATTAGTTTAACACATTTTTAAATTTTTAAGAAATATAAATTTTTTTGTTTTCGCTCCAAATATAACAGGACCCCTAGGCATTGATCAAAAACCTGCAAGGATTGTGTGTTTGTTATGAATTTCGTGTAAAGCTACATGATGGCTATCTATGCTAGCCGTCCCTAATTTAGCAGGGTAAGACTAGAAGGAAGGCAGCTAGTCATCACCACCCACTGCCAACTCTTGGGCTACTCTTTTACCAATGAATAGTGGGATTAACCATCACATTATAATGCCCCCATGGCTGAAAGGGCGAGCATGTTTGGTGTGATGGGGGTTCGAACCCACAACCCGCAGATTGCGAGTTGAGCACCCTAATCACCTGGCCATGCTGGTCCACCTGCAAGGAAGAGGCTTTGGCTCATACCACAGGTCCTTGTGAGTGAAGCCAAGTTCATTTTGTTCCCAGTGTTCAAAGGTGTGGCAGAGGATGATCTGGACCATTTCATCAAGTGTTTCAGGTAGGTAACTGCTTGGAATGGCTGGATTCAGGAGCATTCAAGATGTTGGGAAAACATGTAGATTCAAAAAATCAATTTAATATAAAAATACAAAACCGTGTAGCCCAAGTGCTTTCAAAAGGTGGTCCTTTCTTCGTCAAGAGCAAACTAGGAATTTTTTGTATTCAGAAGCATGCAGTCCAATGCCTGCTTCTGAGCTCAGATAGTGCAGCCCTAGATTCCATCAAAAATTTGGATGATGTACAGCTAGAAGACTGCGATACAGTTGTAGCCAGGTTGTGTTGCTGATTCTGCCCATTGGAGAATTGAGTAATCCATCAGGCTGAATTCAAGGCTTGGAAGAGAATCACTACCATGAGAGTGACCATTTACATGGATGATCTATGCCATATGCAGATTGCAAAAGCATACTTGTGGATAAGTCCTTCAACAGTTTTCCTAGCAAAATGATGAGGCACACTGAGGTGGTTTCAATAATGATTATATATGAAGGGGTAACTTCGATCCAGTCTCTGTAGAGAGAGAGAAAAAGTCTGGAGAAATAGCTGCTGTAACTATGACTCAGATGACTTATACTATCTGGTTACCTTCACTATGTTGATCTTGAGCTATGTTGAGAATTAACCAGTCACCCACATCACTGAAGGGGTAGGATTGCCTCTCAGTCTGCCCGTGGTTTACATGTTTAAGATGCCCCTGCTTGGATGTCATCTAGGAAGAGAGGAGTGAAGCATCTGCTTTGCTTGTGGTATGTTTGGTTTCTGGCAGGTGAACTGTCTGTACTTTACTGAGAAGATGGTTCAGAAGGTTCCAGAGAGCAAACAGCCACCATACTTTATCAAACAGCAAGGTGAACAATTGTATTGCTTTGTACCAATGGCTCAACGGGTCTAGAAGAGTCAACAAGTGGCAAATGCTACTGCTACAACTCCAGAAAACTAACAGAGCCCAAGTCAGCCTGGAAATCAACCTTTCTTAATTGTGTCTAGGAAATGTCAATCACTGAAAAAGGTAGTAATCTCCAACCTTGGATCTTGCATTGAAATCCATGGCATAAATGTAATACTGTGGAAATTATCCATCAGTTTCATCTCTACAACTGGTAAACTGATGTTCTGTAGGAGAGCTGTCTCCAGTGTTATCCAGGTTAGGCCCAAGAACAATGAACTGCATGAGTTATGTAGTGGAGTGAGTACAGTACCTCTTTATACGTAAGTGGTATCCTGTGGTTTACTGCAAACAAAGTCTTGAGCATTGGTACTGTGTAAAACAGTTATAGAAGCCATGCATGAAACGAATTGTTTCCTGTCCAGAAGGCAGGCAGGATTAGATTGGGCAGTTATTTGAGCAAGAAGGGATTAAGTCCCAGTGTTGTTTTATAATTATGGGCAACTAGCTATCCAGCTGCTTTCTGGAATAGTAATATATATTGTAGGCAAAGTAAAGTAACTGAGGCTAGTGGCAATTCTAGGGTTGCACTGTGGCCAAAGGCAAGTACATGGCTACCAACACATCTGAGATTGTTGGTTGAGAATTGTGTAAACAATTTCAACCAAATGCAGTGAAAGCAACTCAGTGATTTGTTGGTTGAATATGCCATTGTGTTTGCGAGACAGATGGCCTACTGAGCTGAGCAACAGATTTGTATGAGTTTGGCCTCATGCCATTCAGTCTATGTAATGCACCTGCCAATTTTGAGTGGCTAAGGGAGCTTACACTAAAGAAACTGCAATGGGAGAGATTCCTTGTTTTGGTGATCACACATTTAAGTCTGTGGCTTAGATTTTGACAATGGTATTCAAGTGGATAAATGAAGCAGGTTTCATAGTGAAACAAAGAACATGTGCACACAAGTTGAGTTTCTCAGACACATTGTTGGTAGATATGGAGTCTCTACAGACTTTGCTAAGACAGCAGTGGTATGAGACTTGCCTCAATTTGTCACCAGGTGAGAAGTCTGCAGTTTCCTCAGTTTTGCACCATATTACCAACAGTTCATGACTAGCTCCTCCAAGATAGCAGCACTTTGGATTTTAACAGTGATTTTGAGAAGCATTGTAATCCCTAAAGACAAGATAACAAATTCCTCTTAGATACCAGTGGCAGTGATAATGGAATTAAGGTGGTGTTATTACAGTTGTAGGACTGAGTGGAACATGTATTTATTTACACTGGTCCCAAAAGCAGATACTGTATGACAAAGAAAGAACTACTTGCAGTTGTGGTCTTTATAAAACACTATTGTCACTACTTATGTGGTAGGAGGTTCACCATATGAGTGAATCATGTTTTGCTGAAATGGTTAGTGAACTTGAAAAATCCAGAAAGGATAATAGAACATAAGTGTTGTGACAAGATGGTAAAGAAACAGACATTCTAGTGTGGAGATTGAGTCTGGATGTGATATGTACCAGCAGCATGGAAACAGCTTGCGTTTGACTAACCAGGTTCGTACATCATACTCCAGAAGATTAGTCCATTGACATAAGAGTTACAGCAGATATGAAGTGTGTAAAAGCACATTGAATAAATCCATAAATTGTGCTCTTTCATCACAGAAAAAAACTCTTGTGCACTGGCTTGATCAGAAGTCTGAAGTTGAGATCAATGAGTCACAGGAGGATAAGGAGGCTATCTCAAGCCATACTGACTCACCCAAAGAAGGAGGAGGGAACGAGCTGGACATACTTATTTAGCTGTACACAACAAGCCAGATGAGGAAAAGCTGGAGTTAGAGGCCAAAGACGGCTCTAGTAGTCAGCCAAGCCAGTGACATTAGTCTCCTGATCAAAATCTTAAAGGATGTAGCAATTCTTGCTTTCCAAGCTATCAAGTGATATTCACAGTACAATGTGTTTGTCTTTTTCAATAATTTATCTCAATCACAACAAACTACTACATCTGTCGTTCAGTAGACTCTCAAATCTCTAGTTGTTGGTAAGATTAGATAACTTTGTGCTAGGTTTATCCTTGGAATTACCAAAATATCATGGTCCACATCTTTACATAGTATGTTTATCAGTCCTGTTTCTTTCTTGATGAGCAAACAACATCGTAGTCTGTTTATGTATTATGATTCTTTTCTGTTTAGGTGGTATTTTTAGGTAAACTGATTTCCTTAAAGAGTATTAAGAAGGTCCACTATATAATGAAAAGATCAGTAAAATATATTATGATACTGAATTTAGCTAAACTAGTTGAGTTTGAGCAAAGAAATGAACAGACTGGATACAATGTGTAGTACATGACAAAAACGTCTTTATTAATCAAACACAATAAACATACAGTGTGTGCACTTGTTCACAGATGCTGGATGATCTCCTTTCTCTGGATTCATGAGTTGATTAAACTGGCTTTCTTCCCTTGAGCAGTATTTCTGTAACCAGTTCACTAAAAATCAAGTACATGAATAATTTAAACCTAATGTTTCATACTTAATGGGAAATATCAAGTTTACCCACAGGAATTAGTGCTAACCACACGACTGGTCATTCTCATTCAAATACAAGGGAGGCCGTAACCTCAGGATATCATCTGGCCTACCATTAGAGGATACTAGCTGTCAACATTTTTGCACCACATGCATTACAGCCATACCACTCATAGAACAGGAGTTCTCTCCAAAGAATGACAAAGGAACAAAGACAACTAGAATGAAGTCAACCTAATGACTTTCTTGACCATCTGTTGTGTGAAAATTGCATAGACTTGGAATAAACAGAATATTTTGAAAATTAAATATTCAAATGATAATCCAGTAAATGCTTGCTTATCACATTTACTTAACACCAAGATTATCAAATGTATTTGTTGTTTATCCATTTTTTTAACTGTTCTTACTCTGTTTATTATGTATCTTTTTTCTCTGTAGGCCCAACAATATTATGGTTTACCATTGTACTTCTGGCTCCCAAAATCGGCTAACATGGGGAGAGTTGGAATCTCTTATTTTTCCTCTTGTATATGCACATCCCAGCAAGGAAGTATTACGATATCCTGGTGGCAGTTTTAAAAGTAATCGCCTGCGGAATGAAATTTCAGTATTTTTCAATCATCAGGTTCCAGCCCAAATACTTGACTTTATGGCTCGAATTCTGGGACGAAAGCCAAAGTAAGATATCATTATAGGTCATTTGCCTTTTTATATTAGTTTACAATGTAAAATATAAATACAAAGTTTATTATTCCATAAATTTCAATTATAAATGACTTTTTTTACAAAACTTAGGACATGCATGCATTAAATGGTATAGTTATTAGAAATTCCCATCAGTTTCCTTAGTTATCTAAGTGTAATTAGTTGTTTGAAAGTTTTTAAATAACAAACATTTAAGTATGATCAAGATCAATTAAAGGATTTTTCAAGCTGAAGTGGGCACAAAATAGATAATATCAAACTTTACATAATAAGTAGAAAAGTAGTCATGTATAGTAATAGTAATAAAACAAATCACTACGACTGTAATAATCCCTGTAGCGTATTCGTATTGTGGCATTCCCTGTTATATGGCTTTCCTGTACAGTAGACAGTTAGTGCTCACCAACTGGAAGAATCTTAACTAAAATCCAAAGTTAAACACTTAACTTTTTACCAGGCTAAATCAAAATCCCAACTCAAGTGACAGTGATTGAATGAACTTCTGAAGGTTCACTTTAAACAAGCTGCTTCTACTAATGTTAAAGTACCAACACTGAAAGCATTTAATAGTCATGTTAAATGTAATTAAATACAAAACCATAAAAGCTCTTAACAAAACTAGGTTTGTGCATGAATGCACCCGACACACATGATCCTTGTCAGTTGTGAATCAAATTTTAGAGCATGTCCCTGCTCATTATCCAATTCACTGAAAGAGAACATATTTGTGGACATAATATGCTATCTTCCCTGCAAGATACTCATTTACCTGTCAGTTTGTGAGTTTATGTTTTGTATGCACTAAAAGAAGGGAAGTTGAAATGTATACTTGAGTGACTTTCTTGTTCTAAACTGGAAACTCTGAAAAACACGAATGTTTTGAAAAATTGACATCTTAACTAAGAGGTAGAAAACACAATATTAAACAGTGAAAACATAGCAATGTGATTTTTAGATCACATGCCTACTCTGATTTTCAAGATCAATTGATGTTGCTAAATAAAACTTGATTAGTATAATGTATTGAAAGTTACTCTTTAAAGTTATGATGTTCAAAGCCAAAAAATTGTGAAGCATTGCAGACTAATAGACTTAATATTTGTGATGAAAATCTGTCTAAACAAAATGTTTTTTCTACATTCCTTGTAATTTATTCATAATGAGTTCTTACTGTATGAAAGTATTTTTGGTAATGACTTATGGCAGACAAATAATTATGGATTGCATATATTTTTACACACGTCTGTTTTGAAACCTGTAATGAACAACCTAAGGGGGGAATATGGTGAAAACATCTGCAGTCTAGTTTCATTTTTACTATAAATATCATAACCAATTGGTTCCAATTGCTTTGCAAAGTTTTAACATTCAATGTTGTAGCATTAAAGGTTTTGAGCTATATAAATAGACTGTCATAATCCAGCCCATCTGATTAATTCTGGTGTTGGACAAAGGTCTCCTGGATAGTGACATGTGATAGACAAAAAATTGATATAAAATGCTGCTTTTTCAACATTTAATTTGCAGTCCACGTTTTAAAAATTAAGAGAAAGTAAAAAAGAAAATTTCAGTTTACTTGATTTTCATGTTCAATATTAAGTTAATCTCAGTCCAACAGTAACCTTTTATTCACTTCAGTGTGTGGGTTTTGGTTTTACAAAACAAGTTTTATAAAATATGTTACTCATTATTTTGAATATTATAATTGAGTTTGCTTTTCAAAATATTTAAGAAAGAAAAAAAGTTTAAAATTGTGATTCCAAAGACTTCTTCAAACTACTGAAACAAACAAGATTATGTGCAAATATAACTCATTACAGACTTGTAACACACATTTGAGTCAGATAGTATGGAGGAGCACATATTTAAAGGATTAGCACAAAAGCTATATAAACATTTTCTCTTTTTGCTTAAAAACTATAGTAGGGAAAGTTTTACCTGTGATAAATAACAGATAAAATTTGCAACAGAGACAAATGAAAAATTATTGTGAATGTTAATATTTTTACTGTTTTAATTCTTTTTATGACCACTATTAATCTTTTTTTTTAAAAAAAACAACAGGTTTATGCATTGTAAACAGTATTGTAATCTTTTAAGACAAAGCATTTTTTAAGCCTTTTTCATCAGTTTACATGATCTGGTTTTTGTTCCATCAGTTGATTTATATTTTGTCAATAAATATATATTTGTTTATTTTTCAAGTTGTTTCTGCAGTTTCTTCAGGGTTTTTAATACTCCTTCTTATTAAAGTTTTTCTTGGTCTGGAATCTTCTTATTGTTATTTTTCCTTTGGGTATAATAAATGCTTATTATCTCCTAAACAACTGCAGCCTGGGATTAGAGAGGTATGTATGTTTCTAGGAACCATAGCTATATCTGTTTTGATGCTAGTATGTTAATTTTTACCTTCTTTGTAATTATGTTTAAGTATCATCACTTAAGAATGGGATATGTTCTGCTGGTTACAAGCAGTTGGGTAATTAATGAAGTTCATATATTTATCAATAAAACTCAACTTTTATTGAAATGTTTGTTCACATGAGTCATATATTGTTACTAGTGAAGTCTATGATTAAGTGCGAGTTAAGTGACAAGAACCAAATTCCACAAACTGTAAAAAAAAAAGTTTAAAAATCAACAAATATTTGATGTGGTTTTGCAGTTTATATAGAACATTTCAGTACTTTTTAAAATATGAAATATTTCCACAGCCATCATAATTAGTTTGTATAATGGAAATATTGTTTGTAAGTGTCTAAGATTATTTAATAAAATATATTAAAAACTTCTTTAGCAACAGAAAGATTAGATAACATTATTAATTCAAGTGGCAATAAAAGTAACTTTTGTGTAAAAAACAAAATTTATTTAAAACATTATGTAATTGATACTTGGTGAAATGTTCTTGTGTTGTACATTTTAGTGGGCCTTAATACACTTTTCATGGATAAAAGTTTAACTTCTTTGGTTGTTTTATTTTCAGGACTAATAGTTATTAAATTATACTGAAAGTACTTTTACTACAGTGCATAAATCGTTATGAAAATTTCGATGAACCAGTATTTGTAGTGGGAAATTCTGTAATTTGACTTTATTTTTCAGCTGTATGTGAATCTTGAATGCATTTTCATAAATTATTCAAGAGATAAGTATTTCTGTTTCTGTGTACTAGAAATGTTTCTTCTAGTGAACTGTTTGAAAAAATATAATTTATACAGTGCTAGAAGCTTTCAGCCTAATAGATGTAATTAACATCTTAGGTTGATTTGTGTTTGACTGCAATGATTTGAAAATGTTATGCTTGTTTTTTTATCTGTTTACAGCACTTTTAGTTAATGAAAATAAACTATTCTGCCTTGATAACTTTTGTATTTTAGTAAAATCTATATTGAGAATGATACTTAAGCATTAGTTGGCATAGGCATTCTGGAGATATGTACTTGAAAGTGGTCTAGCAAATGATTCTTGGGTTTACACATACATTGTTGAGAATGGAAGAATAGCTACACAAGGCAATAATTCCCATTTTGTCATAAAATTTAATTTAGGGCTAAGAGTGGACTATTAGTAAATAGTTTTATTTATGAAATGTTTTTTCATTAAATTTTTAAAAATTGTTTATACCTCTAGAAATTTATATCTAAATGCACTGCAGAGTGGTGGAAAGATAAGTTTGTGAAACTAAGTTTTAACAAATTTTTAAGATGAAAATAATTGCTACTTTTGTAGAATGGTTCAGCTGTATTCTCGACTCAACCGAGCTGTAAGCTGTTTGGAGTTCTTCACAACACACGAGTGGACATTCCATAATAGTAATGCTGAGACATTATATGAGCAGCTAGTTGGAAAAGACAAAAAAGTGAGTTGCTGCCTTTGTGGTGTTAAAACACTGATTTCTGACAGAAATGCATAAGTATCTGCAATACACTACAGACTCAGGAAATGTTAAGCAGAAAATAAAATGAACATGGAGAGCAAAGGAAAAATAAACCCAAGTTTAACAAATAAACACAATTTATATTTTTAAATACATAAATGCTGGGATCTTCAACAAACTAGTTAGATTCAGTATTCATTATTATGATTTCTGTGGCTGCTGGAAGCACATCTGTACAAGACAAGGACAAGTATTCTGTTGATACCATACTTTATGTTAGACAAACATCCAAGTGTGGTTTTACAATCCTAAAATATCCATGCCAGTGTTTATTCCCATTATAAATATTCAAGGGAGATTAATCCTTAACTCATACTAACTCGTTTACGTTTCTTTGAAAGGAGTATGACCTCACTTTAGGAGACTATAACATAGAACAGTTGTGGTATGTTACTTGTGCCTAAGCAAGAGCATAAGTGCATGTTTATGACCAGTCCACATTTATGTAACTGCTGGCCAAGCAGTTATTCCCGGCCAAAACTATTAGAAGGTTGACAGTGGCACCTCAGCCAATCATCAGAACACTTCTCTGCTGGTGTTTTATTATCTGATCCCACACAAACTGTCAAATATATACTGCCAGTTTCTTTCTTTTCTTCAGCTAAGACAGAGTATTCTGATTGTCTAAATCAACCTGCTCTTTCATTGTTGACTCCTATGGTAACAAGCTTTTAAGTGGCTTATCAGTAATATACAGTTTAAGCTTGTTGATTTGTTGGACACACACACATATCAAGAGACAGAAACATGCAACTTAAGGTTCACTTAACTGAGCTATTTAGAAATGAAATATTGACCAGTCCAGCTAGAACTGAAGTTGTTTGCCCTAGGTGTGTACCACAGTGAAACCCAGTCACCAGTTTCAAACTTTTGTTCTGTTATTGTAATATCATAGCACCTCTTGGACACATGACCACTTTATTTATAAGTGGATTTGCAAAATCATGTGCAACAACTGTTGTAGAATGTAGCCACTCTATATATTTCTGTGGACGCTGCAGGATGTCTGCACTTGCTTAAACTAGTTCACACCATAACATTTGTTGTTCATGTAAATGATGATATAAATAGCACTAGATCACCACCATGTCTATCATATTCCAGCTGGCCTGGTGAGCCCTGGTATTAGGTGAAAGGTCTTGTTGGCACTGGATATGGCAGTTGTAGTGTGGTTGACATATTAGTACATATTCTTCTTTGCTTTTACTCATAAGTTCTTAGAATAATGACATGTAGTATGTGCCTATCCTAATCAGTTCATTCGGGGTTCACAAACTTAGCAAGCATTTGCTAGACACTGTGCACTACCTGTACAGCGAAACCATAAAACTGAGGATGATAAGGTGAATTGTACAAACTCTGCAAACTGACTGTTGAAGTTGAATCTTTGATTCATGTGGATCTCTTTTATGTGTTTAGAATTATGTTATCCATTATTCAGGCACATCAATGGATAAGCTTCAGCTCACTTGTTGAAGTAATTGGTAATGGCCAGCACAGACATATTACTTCTCTGTTTTGGGCAGGGACCAGTTAAATTTAGAGAAATTCTCTCAAAGGGAAAAATGTGACTTTCTGCCACAGTTTTTCCCAGCTAGACATGGCTGGTTTTCTCTCTGACTATTGAATGTGGTACAATGTCTACACTATCATATAACATCTTTGCACAAATACAACCATAAAACTGCTTCTTCATGTTTTCAATGATGCTTGACATTCCTTGGCACCCTGTAGCCCTTGCATTATGTAAGGCTGAAGTATCTGAAGCTTTAAGGCTTTGGAAATCACTAGCTACATCATGTTGGCTCAGTGGTCCATATTAATGTTACAACATGTCATCCTGTACTCAGATCTCACTGAGCAAGTGCCAGTACTTTTGCTACTTTGTGACAGATGCACTTCACGTTGATACGTAGCAAGCAGCATCCAAGCTATGTCTAAAACCTTCAGTTGTTCATAACTGTTCAGAAACTTTTGGTATCCACTCCAAACCAGAATTGTTGCTATTTGTATGGTGGGCATCACATCTGCAATAACATCTTTGAGTGCTGCATATGTTTAGGATCTTCACTTTCAACTGATGCACATGATATTCCTGGCTGGCAAGATAAATTATGTGAATTTCCATTCTGCTTGTCCAGGTGGGGTTGCTATCCATTACACAATCATATATGTTAAATTTTTTAAGTTCACCAGCCACTTCAGTGCTTGATACATGTAAATGATAAACTCCACATCATACTAGTTATAGCAATAATGTTTGACAAATATTATAACTACAAGAAGTTCCTTCTTTGTTGTACAATATTGGCATTCAGGAGCAGATAGAGTATGGCTTGCATATCCATCTACATGCTCCATAATATCCTGTAACTGAGCTATACCCGCTCCAGTTACACTGTTAATGCCATCAGTAACCAGGATGAATCATTAATCCTGTTAATGATAAGCTAGCATCAGTGATTTGACCAAACCATGCTTCAAAAACTGGAAATTGTTTTCATGTTTATGGAACCACACAAATTATACATCAGTAAGTACAGATAGTGGTGTGGTTACCTTGGAAAAATTGATCATGAGCCAATGGTAATATGATGCAAATCCTTATTCAGAGACAAATTATTCTGTTTTGTAGTGTTTTTCTCTTCCTAGGGGTGTTAATAGATTTTGCTCGTGCCAGTAAGGTACACATCAATGCATGTTCAGTGTTACATCAGCCACGATACTTACCTTGTGGTAGATTTATTTCATAGCTTCTGACAGTTGGTTATTGTCTCTGAAAATGCTCATATTGTTAATCACTTTATCTATAATTATAAGCAGACACGTGTCTTAATGGTTTACTACTGTTTGTTTGAAACATACTGGACTTCCTAATGGTCAAGCAGGTTCTTTTGCATTCTGGATAAAATGTTTTTTTTTCTTTAACATTTAATCAAACTTTACATTTTAATATTGTAGAAACATTAGTGGTTGTAAAATCATTATACTTTTAAGAACAATTATCAGTAAGGATAATTGACTTGAACTGTTATCATCACTATGCTTCTGTTCATTGGTACAGTAGCATACTTAGGTGAGGAAAGGCAACTTGAACTTTAACTTGTTACAACATTTTTCATTCTTTGATTATATCAAAGAATCAGAAGGTTTTATATCCACTGTACAGCAAATTGTGTTAGAGTTTAAAACTTTCTGGTTGCCTAACTGATAGACTAGAAACAAAGTAGTCACTGATTAACTAGTATAATTAAAACCAAAAAAAAAAGACCGTAACATCATTAATACTCAGTATGCTATTAAATTCTATTATTAGTGATATTAATTTTGTCCTAAACTTCTGGTCCAACTTTGTTAAATATTAGTATTGTTTCTTTAGAGTATGTTGAATTACAAATGTTTATTTTTATGACATGATACTCTATTTCTCTTATATGCTTCATTCTGTTTTATCCTCAGAATTTTGACTTTTCCATCAAAAGTCTTAACTGGCCATCATATTTTGAAGATTATGTTCTAGGAACCAGGAAATATTTGCTAAAGGAAGACCCATCTACACTTCCAGCTGCCCGAAAAAATCTCAAAAGGTAATCTGGTCACTAACTTAAGTATGTATTTTTAAAGCATTAATGCTCTATTATCATTGTAAAAATCTCAGGAAAACATGCTGATTATTTCAAGAACAGCTAATTTTTATAACACAAGGACAGTAGAATTTTATGAAACACTAATGAATATGCTGATTTAATAGATAATTAAGTATTATTTTTTGGAATGAAAGAAAATTTATAAGGGAACATGAAATTAACAACATGGATATGATATTTGAGAAGTAATGGATGAAGCTGTTCTTGCAAAAGTTTCAAGTTTTTATGAAAGCATATCAGATGAAATGGTTTTACAGCTTAATCTCAAAACCCAGTTATTTAAAAAAATTCATTTTGGAAGATATTTATGCTACCTCTGAATAACACTAATTCAAACCACTGTTTTGGAAAAGTTGTGGTGGAAGCACAATTTGTTTCAGCACTCTTATTTCAGTTCTGCTAAATGTTGTCATCTGTGTGGCTACATTGTTTGGAGAGAGAGAGATGATGCTCAAATGTCACTGATTTTTGTTAAGAGTTGTTGATGCATTTTCTGTGAAAGGACTCTTTGATTTTCCAGTGTTGAGCTGTGTCCAAGATATAGTGTTGTCCTAGTTTATGATTTTGCTAGTCTGATAGTTGTATTTGGTTAAGGCAGGTGTTATGAGATGTGGCCGTCTTATGATATCTGTGTGTTCATAAAGTCTTTGTCTCATGGTTCTGTCAGATACCAACTGACTACTGAAAAAAAAAAAAGCCTTAACTAACACAAATACCAGATTGTCTACATCATAAGCTGGGGCGAATACTAAACCGTGAGCACAGCTCAATACTGAGAAACCAAGGAAAAATAAATCTGGGTCTTCGGTTATTTCATTAACTGGAATGTGCACACTTATTTAATTCCTGGTAATTTCTTTTGTAACTACCTAAGTCAGTCCATCTTAAGATTGTTACATTAAAGTAAGAACAAAATAATAATGTTTATTACAAATTTTGTCTGACCACCCAATACACAACTTATATGTATGTGTAAAAGATAAAACAAATAGATTTTATCCCAATTTCAATATTTTTTTAAAACTACTTTAGGATGTACCTGTATAGTCAGCTGACAAACATACTCTTCCTGCTAGGCATCTGGAGACTTCTGATGATTCGATCAAACATTACTAGACGTCTGTTGTGGTTCTTTCTGTCAATAGCAGTTCGTTTGTACAGGCTATTTCCTGTGTCTTTTATCTAATAAATGTTTCCCATGGCTCGAAGTGTAAATGTTTTACTACCTGAATCAAGAGCTGGATATAAGCACTTTGTATTTACAAGAACTATAGTAGTAAAAAAACTGAGATGTAGAAGTTAATCAGCATACAACTTATGCAATTTTTTTACTTAAAACTTGTGTAGTTCTTTCATTTGATATATGTGTATATTGGTTTCTTTTTTAAAAAATTACAAATTTTTCTCTCTTAACAAGGAAGGATAATTACAACTGGCATTTTATGATCACTTAAAAGAAAGATAGTAGAAAGTAAAAAGTGAATGGGTCAAATGTGTGTATAAAACTCAAACTTCAACCTAGTAAGCTTCTTTGTAAATTTTAGTCTTCAGATACCACAAGCAAACCAATTATTAGTCTGAATTAGTGCTTGCAAAGCTAAAATACATACTCTCAAACTTAATCCACTGTCTTGTAGAATCAATCTGTTTTTCAAAGATTGAAAAGAAATTGTCTGTAATACTTTCTCAAAATTGTACTCATCTTCTTGGTTAGTTTCTTGACATCTTGCCATTACTGAATACCATACATCTATTGGTGAACCTTGAATGTATATAAATATGGCATGAGTATCTCTGTTTTATGTTAGAAATGCACTGACTGTCAACTAAAATGTTGCAATTTAAGAGAAGCTGTAAGTGTTTTAACCTCTGTAGTTGGAGCTACCTCTTTTTATTTTGTAATGTTGTGAACTGCAATGTTGGTTTTCAATGTTTGTGTGTCACCATATAAATACAATTACTAGTCACCGATTCAACACCTACCTGAAAAATTGTGAACTGAGAATAATACAAAAAAAAGGGACCATTCCACAATTTTTGCATGATGACTGTAGTAAACATTTCCTTACAGCCTTGTTCCAATGCCTTTAATATGGTGACATTGACTACAAAGTTTATTGCTAAATATTTCCCAACATCAAATTCATGCAGCTTATTTTAGTTTTAAGTGACCTTTTTACTATACTGTTCTAAGTATACTTAATGTATAAAACATAATCTGTGTAATAAAAAAGTATTTTAAAGTGGTAATATTACAATAAATTCTGAATTTTTTGTTTAAACTGAATCAAGTTCCTTACTCTTCCAAATGATAATTTTCTGCAGGAGAAAGGTGACAATTACTTTAATTTACAGTATTTGAATGGTAAATAATATGCAAAAAATTATTTTAATAAAGATGTAACTATTAAAAGAAAAAAAAACTGCTTTTCCAGCCAACCAGAATTATTGGCATGTTGATAAACATCTTTATAAACTTTTCTATGCATGATTTCAATTTTTATATCATTAGGTTTTTTTCTTGAATCATTTTAAAGCAAGAAAAAATCTTTGGAATTGTTTTTCAAAAGAAAATTTTAATACATTTTACTATGTTACTGAAGTTCAACAAATGAAAAATTTGGAATAATAATATCATAGGCTTAAACTACTGATTTGGTCAGAGATTAATACAGAAATTTATGATGAATCTAAATCCCTTCCAATGGAGATTAACAAATAGTGGGATTTCAAACTAGGAAAAATCAGGCATTAACATTGTAATTTTTTGAGAAAATACAATCTATTAAATTTCTTAAAATACTCATAAGCACTAAATATCATTATCAAAGATTGTTTTAAAGCTTACTTATTTAAAAATCAGGAAAATTAGTTGATGTTGAGTTTTTTTATAGTAACATTAAGAAAGCCTGTATCAATTCCTGCCATATGGATGACAATTGTATGCTTTTGTGTTATTTGTTTATGCACTTACAAATGTTTTACACTAAAGTGCAACAATTTTAAATTGTTTGTAATTTTCTAAGACTTGTGGTTTTAAGTAAAAACAATATGCTATTAGACGGAGAGTGTGAATTATTGACATTGCTAGTCTCTACTTTCTTCTTCTTCAATATTTTTAGTTATCTATTTCTCTATTGAATTCATCCTCCTCCTTTCATTTGTTTGGCCTTTAACTATTTCACATTACCTATATAAACAAGACAGGAAAAAGGGCAACATTCATAAAAAAGTTAAAATATTTTGTATAATTTTAGTCTATTAAGCATGACACAGTACGTACATAAACAGATGTCTTAGACAAGATACCAGTCATTACATGTTATGAAATCTTCAACAAATCCTCACAGAAAACAAAGGAAGCACTTAATTTGGTCTCAGTCTACATATCGTGTAGCTAATATAAAATATAGTTATCTTGAACACTCACTTTCTAACAAGGAACAGAGGTCTTGAACATGCTACCATTTTTGTAGCACAGGTAGTCAAAAACTGCAGAAGTCTTAAACATATTACACGTATAATTTTTGTAGTGTGTCACAGCTAACAATATAACAGGGATCTCAAGCATTTACTAGCTTTGTAACATATCACAGTTAACAGAAAGTAACAGAGGTTTTAAGCATAGTATTTTTAGCATGTGTCACAGCTATCAAAATCCAATACAGATCCTGCACAAGTTATCATTTGAAATAGAATGTTTTAAAAATATCACGTCAAACTGTAGCATTAATACTATTTCAAGGATTATGAAAATAAAATTTCCTTTGAGCTTTTTTTTTTTTTATTGAAATAGAATGTTTTAAAAATATCACGTCAAACTGTAGCATTAATACTATTTCAAGGATTATGAAAATAAAATTTCCTTTGAGCTTTTTTTTATTGAATAAAACTATCAAACATTTTCTGGTAATATAACATGAATTGTCAACAATGTTGTTTACTTTAATTTTTAATCTAAGAGAGCTTGTCAGAAATGCTATTTTTACATTTCAATAACTATAATAATGTCATAAAAAGAATGAGTTACAACATATTGCAGTTCTCAGACGTTAGTATGGTTTAAAATGTTTTCTCAAAGGTGGGTGTGATGTTTTTAAGAGAAAAATAATAAGGCTACTCAGTAATGTACTTAAAATAACTGTAATGAAATCTGAAAACCTTCATAATGTATCATTAAATTTTCAATAATTCTAAATAGTTAGTTATTGCTAAACAAGGGGCTATTTGTGTTGTGCTCAACACAAATATTGAAACCCAGTTTTTAGCATTATAAGTCCTCACAATTACCACCGAGTCAGAGTCATCGGGGGGAGGTATTCTATAAAGTAATGATCAACATTAAATAACAAATGCTACTACGTTTGATTTTTTTTTATAGCATATTTATTTGTAAGGCACAATTTCCAAGCTGTTCTCCAACTGCAGAATCTTATGAAATTTTAAAGATTTTGTTAAAGATGTGAAATAAATTACAAACTTCAATAATTAAAATCGCTTCTCAAAAGCAACTTTTATTCTACCATAAAAAAATCATCAAAATTTTATAACCAACTAGGTTAATTTTTGGGCATGATTGGCCCCATGACTACTACGAAAAAGAATGATAATGTTTACATATATATATATATATATTGCATCAGAAGATGTTGCCGATAGCAGAGAAGATATATAATGGAGTATATAAACATATGTATATATATATATACCTCAAACCCACACTTCTCTCCTTTCATTAGAGATAAAAGTTAATTCTATTTTAATAAGTCCTTTATTTCTTGTTTCTCAGCTGCATCAAGATAACTGGTGCCATCTGGTGTGGTTCCACACTTGTTGGCACCCTACAAAAAGAATAAAAAAATTAGGATACTAAACTTCTTTCTGAAGCAATAAATAATCATTTTTTTTTATACAATTACTGAAAATAAACTATGAATGGATATTAACACTTCTTGCATTAAGAAGTATGAATATGATTTTAAGTAGCATATAGTTAATACTTAAGGAGATGGCTGTGAAATATTGCATCCTAAATATTTATCTCTACAGAAAATAGTTGTTAAATGATGTCCAATCTTGGAGGATATAGATTACCGTTTGAGTACAGTGATAAGTTTACTAGAAATATAAATTTAAAATCCACCTTAAATTCTGTGGTTGTTTTAAATTTGTTTCATTCTAAATGATTTTGATGATCACAACATTTTCTAAAAATAATTTAAGACAAAACATGGTTCATACATTTCATATTGAAGTTTAGAATATTTTAAATTTCTTATCATTTACGACAAATTCTGTAAGGATATGTAATGACAAAGTTTACACTCACTGATTTTATATCTTTTCAAATGCGTCATTTGTTGTATATTGAAACTCAAATGTTTAAAAAAATTTCATAAGTTAATATTTCTAGAACATAACACTTTTCACATATTTTGCACTCACTGAAGTTGTGTCACATTTCTGTTGTGCATCCATCTTTGTTTAGTTAATGTTGTTACTAACAGCCCAAAATTTAGCTGATCAAAATTTCTGAATTAATTCTAGATTAGGTCTCACTAAAACTGAAAGCTAAAAAGTAAAGTTTGAAAGACAGTGAACCACAACACACATTATACCAGTGAATGCTGTTAGACTGTAAACTGCTACAATGTACCTATCTTCTTATATTATTAGGATTAGCACTAATGTGTAGCTTAGTAACCTTTTATACATTTATCATGTATTGGGAAACCAAAAAGATGAAATATTTTATTTAAACAAGACTGTACTCAACTATAAAATATGTTATTTGTCCCCACTGGAGTCAAGTACTGTTAGATTGACAGTTCAAGTTCTGTAACAAACTCTTCCACTTAGACAACAAAATTTTTTCATCTTTGGACATTAACAATTAAGTTAAAAACATAAACCAACCAATATCATCTGTTTCGAGTACAACTATTAGCCAGAAATGGTTGTGTGGGAGGACACCTTTCTATGAGTACTGTTATATAACTTGAACAAATATAAAATAAAAATGTTGTGCTAGTTTCATTTTAAACTAAAAGTTTTTGGTTATTGTTTTGAAAAAACTTTAAGTTTAAAAACACCCATTTACCTCTCAGTTATATGTTAGTGTAATGAAAATAAATTAGCAACATTAAGCAACAAAAACCTATACCATGATCAGCCAAGAACTGCAATTTTGATGAATGTCAACTCTTCTCAGCTCAATTAGTTCATGCTAGAGTCTTACACAAAATATCATTGTACATCTTTAAGTGCAGAATACAGCTTGAAGTAATATCTATTCTATATGTAGATCACTTTATAGTTTTTCATTTTGACACAAATATTCTGTTGCATAATAACAAATACTAGATAGGTAGCAGTTAGGTTTACAAGTGAAAAGTAAGCTTTTTGTCTGCAATTATTAGTTGGAAAGAAGTTTGAAGCCTAAAGTAAAAGTTGTACAATTTAGGTAAACATGCACTTTGCACCCTGACAGATATTAAATTTTTCAGCTGTACAGTTTATCATCTCATACTTTTTTTACCTGACAAGCTTCATTTCACAGATAAACAGTATATATACTAACATGTACATTTAATCTTGTGCATCTAACCAGGTGATGTTTCCATACAAATATTCTAACAAAACTCAAATTGTAGGTGATCACCACCATCTTGCTGAGCTCTATAAATGAATGAAAAGCTTACAGCAGAGTGGTTGAAAGCTATTAATACACTACTCACTCCTATTGGTAAAGGTGTATTGATGAAAATAAAGACAAATCTACTGGGTGACGTTTTACACCATCAACCTGGGCTGATGTGAACTTGTTACACAACAATAGGCTGCTGTGACTTCACATTGTAAGTATTATCAGTGGATTCCAATTAAATTGTCTACACAGTTTACCATTTGAAGAACATTAATTTTTTGTAAATTTAGATGGTATTCTATGTTAGAAGTATCACATCCAGTTTTCATAATGGATGTTTTGTAATCATTTGTAGTCTTGTAATATTTACCACACTTTCATATTTATACTCCTGTTGGCTTTACCAATTACAACATAATCACTAACAAAAACATGAAGTTTATGAGTTATATGCATACTCTGGGTGTTTGCTTCTCAAGAAGGGATTAAATATTCAAATGATCACCTGGTACAATAAACTTATCTATAAAGCAAATACTGTAAAAATCTTTTAATCATAAAAAGGCATGAAAAAATTTTCAAACCACAAGTACTCCAAACTGGCATGTAATATCACAATGTAACTTTTGCTTTGAGGGACATTCTGGTTTTAATGAACGTAGTTTCAAGACATATCTGCAAACCACATTTCATCTTACTACATCAAATATTTAAGTCAGGATATGAAAAATGCATTAATGACATATGAATGCTACTAGGGTTGACACAATATAAGATTTTTTTCATTGTGATAATTTTGTTACAGGATATTGCAATAAATAGATTTATTGAGATATGACCATTTTACTCACCTCTAAAACATAAATTTGATATTACAAGTACAATGAATAACTCATGGTACAGAAGGTTCATTTTTTTCACAAACATATATTTTATTTTTTCTTCATTTGTTCTTTTTATTTTCTAGAAAAATCTTTAAACAAATATCTACATTTTCATTAATCTCTTGATTTCATCATGTAATTTATTTTACCATATTTTAACCACTTTCAGTAATTTTGGTAGCAGAAGAAACAGAAGTGTCCTTAAAGAACTATCCATCCTCAATTTTTTAAAATAGATTCTGTGGCCATGCCTTTAGTATATTTTTGGGTTTGATTTACCATTTATAACATGGTAGCATTGTTTAATAATTACATTTAAAGTACCTAATAACAAGATTATTTGGAATTATAAGTTTGTGGTATTTTGAATAACTAATGAATGTTTAATATTGAGAAGATTGCCACATATCGTGATAAAATGTACATTATCATGACAACACTAAATGTCACAATAACAAAGTGGTGTGGCATCATGTTGTAAGTATTGCTAATGAATTTCTGATTAAAAAACCAGCAAAGATCACCATTTGAAAAATTGAAAGAATAATATACTGAAGTCAGTTTAGATCAAATCAAAGACACCTTAGGTGTGAAAAATGGTGTGTCCAAAAAAGGATTGAGCATGCGACTTAAAGGAATGAAATCAAAATTGGCATCCAAACTGGTAGCTACACTTACAGCATTGATAAGAATTTTACAGCAAATATTCATTTATTAGTTAGCTAAGCCACATTTTATTTACCCACCATCATGCCCAAAGTTCAAAATAATATCAGCCTGGCTATCTAATGAATGAATATTTGCTGTAAAATTCTTATCAATGCTATAAGTGTAGCTACCAGTTTGGCC